TTTTATAAAAATGCAATTTTAAATAAGATTAACAAGGATTTCTCTTACCTACAGGGTTATTCATAAATATGAAGCAATATTTGAACCTCAAAAATGACCCATAAAATCATGTTAATTTAAATAATCACTCGTGTCCTATCTCTACTGATAAGAATTTTACAGCCCTCGGAATGTGAGTATGGAAATTTGATTTTTTTGTAGTAACTTTGAAGCTATTTGACCAAATATTATAAAATTTGGAACATTTCTCTGTCACAACATACCCTTTGAACTGGTAATCACGAAAACCGGATACATCTACTCAATTTCCGGTTCCAGCAGTTGCAGGTCACATTTTCTGTGTTTTTCCATTTTTTTGCTCTCTTAACACCAATTTTTTATTCCCAAATAGATAGAGAGATCAATTTCGAATAAAAAACGCATAACCTTTAATACCCCTAAAATGAACCGTTTCAAAGATATTTTAATTTAAACTGAGGACTGCACAACGCTGAAATCAAAAAATAGGGATTTTGAACTAGTATATGTGGTCAAATCCTATCGGATTTGATTAAGAGTTTCATTTTTATTTAAAAAAAGTGTCTTAGATTATAAAAAATAATGTTTGGGTCACTTCGAGTAGCTTCAGGTCGGTTCAGGTCACTTTAGGCCACTTCGGGTTACTTCGGATTACTTTGGCTTGAAGTAAAAAGAAAGTGTTAAATGTACTAACTTTAAGATTTTTAAAAGAAAAAAAAAATTTAAGGAAATGTTTAAATTTAGTAGTAAAAATGTCAATCGAGACGTTTCAAAACATCGTGCTACAAAAGACAGTTGGGGAGACTATGAAAGTGTCAGATGTACTGGTTTAAAAAATTTCTAGAGTTGCAAAAAACGTTTAAAAATTTCTTAAAGAAATACTTAAAATTAAAAAAATGTTATTCGAGTAAGATAGTAAGATATAATAATAAGTGGTATCCACGGCAACCAATGACCATGGTCACATAAATCCCTACCAGGCATCTGTTAACTTTGACGATAAATTTTTGTGAATTTTTTATAAATTAAATGCTACGAGATCGATTTGGATTTATTGTAGATACGTTTGGAGTCTGAAGTAAACTCTTTTATTAAATATTTTCAATTAATCGTCCAAGAATGGTCCAATGTCAAAGTTGACAGATGCCTGATTTGTGAGACCATGGTCATTTGTTGCCGTGGATATCATTTATTCAAAATTCTTATTTTTTTATTTCAGCGTTGTGCAGTCCTCAGTTTAAATTAAAATATCTTTGAAACGGTCCATTTTAGGGGTATTAAAGGTTATGCGTTTTTTATTCGAAATTGATTACTCTATCTATTTGGGTAATAAAAAATTGGTGTTAAGAGAGCAAAAAAATGGAAAAACACAGAAAATGTGACCTGCAGCTGCTGGAACCGGAAATTGAGTGGATGTATCCGGTTTTCATGATTACCAGTTTAAAAGTTATGTTGTCACAAGGAAATGTTCCAAATTTTATAATATTTGGTCAAATAGTTCCAAAGTTATTGCAAAAAAATCAAATTTCCATACCCACATTCCGAGGGCTGTAAAATTCTTATCAGTAGAGATAGGACACGAGTTATTATTTAAATTAACATCATTTTATAGGTCATTTTTGAGGTTCAAATATTTTTTCATATTTATGAATAACCCTGTATATGGCTTAATACCTGAATAGCAAACCTTAACTTCAAAAAATCATATCTTAAGAACTACTCGGTATATTATTTTAAAAATTTGGATTCTCATTCATAAAAAGATGCTCTACACGATGGTGACGACAAAAAAATACTCGTGGGTTTCGATTTACTTCGAACTTCTTCGAAAAAAAGTTTGCCAATATTCAATTTCAAATCGCTATCATTCTAAAGAGCAAGTCCCCATCCCTTTAAAATGGTCTTTATTCGAAAGAAATCGGCCTAATAGTTATTGAGTAATGATTTTTTAAAGTTAAAGCATTTTAAATTCATTTAAATTAGAAAAAAAATATTTAGTTCAAAGTGTGTGGACTTTTTTGAAATTTTTTATTGCATTTGATTTGTCTCACTGAGACGAACGAAATGATATAAAATTTGTCAAGTTGTCACGACATGACTTTTTTTTTGTCGTCCTGTGATTATAGTATCGAGTGAGTTAGTAATGCAGTGTTTGGTAGTCCACAAAGCACCCTAAGTAAGTCAGAACAGGGCGGTCTTGTTTTCGTCGTAGACATGTTACCGCTTTGATGTGATATTTCGGTTAGTTAGTTCGCATCTTAGACCGCCCGGCGCGTGTGTGCCTCCCAATAATGCGATTAGGTTGCCATCCATATAGCCGACATTCTAATAGGGTAAGCACAGAGCCCTAAATTAAGTTAGGCCTAATTGAGAGACAATACCTCTGCATTTATATAAGCAAAATCAAAGTGGATGGCTCTTTATTTCGTTATTGGTGTACATACGGTGTTAGGTTACCAACTAAGAGGATCGTTCCACTTGTTCCAACTAGATGATAATTTTATCATCGTGGAATGGATTATTTTACTCGCTTGTTTCTTTATTAAATTTAGAAGGGTATTACGGCGACAATGCTACATTAATGGAGGATTTATCAACAATGATAACTTTTAATGTGAATGCATTTACACAACTAATGACTAAATTTTTTTAATTTAAAATAAAACTGTTGGTAATATACAGTATGTCCCCGGATTAAGTTTACAAGAGGAAAAAAATCTGTAATTAAAACTTCATTATTCCAACTCAGTAGAACAAAAAGTACATTTTTCTCTTGATTTTGGAATAATTTTTCTCTGCTTTTTAAGTTCTATCACATTTTGACAATGAGTTTACGCAAGTTAAATAACAAAAATGTTTGTGAAAAACACAATTTTAATAAATAGCAACTTAAAGAAACAGCATGAAAATAAAAACCAAAGTCATTCTTAACAAGAACTATCATTATTTAATTAATAAATTAATTGTCAATGTGACACAGTCGAAAATCAACAGAAAAATTAACTTTTCTTTTCACTGAATTAGAATTAAGTACAGGTTTGCTCGTTTCAGGTGAAGGAAAAAATGTTTTTCCTGTGCAGTTTTGGCGTAAACTCAATCCGGGGACATACTGTATTTTAAGGAAAAATACTGCTCACGCAAACACGACAAATGCGTAATACTTGTTTTAAAAATGAGAAAAACTCCAAAATCTTAACTGTTCATCGTTGAATATTTCAAATGGATTAACACTAATATGCGAAAGAAGTTTCCCTCAAATTTATGTAAAATTAATATACGCAAATGTTTAAAATGACAATTGGATAAAACTCAACTGCTCAATTATTTAACATCAACTGTGATATTTATTTAAAAGTTAAGACTATTACCTTATTTAACTTTGTGTGGTGAAAACGACCCTAATAATTTTTTAGAGAATATCTCGAAAACTGTTTGAGATACAAAAAACCCGAGAAAACTGTCTTGTAAAAAAATATGCTATATAAATTTTCGTAATACGCACCGTTTTCTACATATAAGCAAAGAGCCGTAAAACGGCGCCTTCTTGGTGCCCCCGCTCACCTCGGAGGACCGAGGACTTTACTGATAATTTTATAAGATTATGCCTTCTTTATACTGTTTTTAATCTAATGGTTGAAGTTTTGTTTTACAAAGTTTGAAATTTACAGAATAAAAAAATATTTTTAGTAATTACACACAACACGGGTGCTTCAAACATTGTGTGATTTTCAAGTCAATTTTAAAAGATATTAGAAATTTTTTATCAAATGCACAAACAGAACAACAAGCAACACACTAGTAAAAAATTAACAACCAAAAAAAGTGATTTATATCCCTAACAAAAAAAAAAAACGAAAATGCAACCTATTGTGTACACCCGGGGAAAAAACTATTTATCAGTCTAAGTTTCTGCTCACACTGCGCTTTGTTGCAATAGTGTTTCCGACTAACTAGTTGGAGAGCAGGTAATATGTCGAAAGACCCTTATTTCAGAAGTTGAAACGGTCTTTTTCTGAAAATTTCTTCAATGAGTGTAGATTATTAAATGGTGATTATAATAATTTGCAAAATGACACTAAGCAAATTTTAGAGAACAGAATACATGCGTATGTATTTCATTACCTTCACAAAATTTTTGTGATTTACTTTTAATTTTATTAACAAATAGCTAGTTTCTTCCGTTTCTTATATTTATTTTTCTTTCTAAACAAAGCAAAAAGTCAGAGTAATAAAGTTTTAATTACAGATTTGCTCGTTTCAGATAAAGCAAAAACAACCCTTGCTGTTAAAGTGTTACTTTATCTACTCAAAAGAGTTAAAAGAAATAGTTTAACATCTGCTCTAGAAAAAAAAAATTCCTTTGCTTTTTTGGTATAAAATCAAAGGTAAAAATTTGTTTGCTTTTGACTGGCTATTATAAAATGTATTATTAGGTTCAGAATTTTGATTATAAAGAAATAACTTGATCGAAATTGGCAAAATTCAAGTTTATTAAAAAATTCTGGCATTTAAAATCCTACAATCTTGATTTTTGAAAGCTGTGGATAAAGAACCTTAAAAGTCAAGTCAAGCTAAAAATGTTTTTCCTTTGCAGTTTTGGCGTAAAACCAAAAGTAAAATTTTTTGCCTTTTGTGAACATAATCCGGGAACATACTGTATACTTGCAAAATACATTTCTTAAATAAGTTTATGTATTTGTAATTTGATAATTTGAGCAAGCTTGTTTATTATACTAATCACAATTTAATGTATACGTTATAATCTATGCTCATTGAAGTAATTTTCACAAAAAGACATTTTTCGGTATATACTTTCTTATAAACCTTCTAAAAGCCATTTTTTGCTCTATATGATGGGAATACCTGTCACGTGTTTGATTTTTTTCATTTTCTGACAATGGTTTTTCCAGTTTTCTAAACTGGAAGTAATTTCTTACGAATATGGAATAATGCAAAGAAGACAAAAGAGGTCACTAATTTATTTATGTTTCTTCAGTATTTGACACTTTTGTCATGAGATTTTTCAATTCTCGAGAATCAATTTCGGATTTAGTGTCATCCGACAAAAATCTACGAATTACAGGACTTATTAATTCTTTATCATCAACTGGAGGATCCTTCTTGTTTGTTAAATAACTGATAATTAGTCCAACTATTAGAGTAACAATGAGTCCTGTCATGGTGATGTAAAAATGCGACAACCTGAATATAAAAAAAGGTTTGAATCTAAAACCAAAACTGTTGTAGGTATTGTTGTAACACAATTTACAAAAATCCTGTACTCTGAATGTGAAGTAACATTATTGGGCTGAATAAAACTGTTGGAAAGTGTATTGTTAATCGCCAAAGAAGTATTGGTCCAACATCCACTCACAGAAAACGTTTTCGGAACATCAACAATGATTTTTTTGTATCGATACACTTTTGAGACAACAAAAACGAAAGTTTGAAAGATAAATGACGAAACAGCACCGTAAAATGCACCCTAGAGTTATTACGAAAGTAATTTTGATTTTGTTTTATTATTTTACCTTAGCGTTAGCCTTTGGAAAGAGAAGTCCTAAACAAAATACACCTAACGTTGGTCCGAATCCCATGGAAGCTAAACTGACTGCAAGAGGGAGAATATCTCCCAAATATTGCAACAAAAATATTAGAAACATACTGAAAATACCAGTTATGACAACAATTAATCTCAAAATTCTGCCAGACGTTTTTTCTTTAATATTGCCTTTCCAATATCGCGAAAAAAAATCTTTAAAAATGACGCCAGAGATTGCATTCAGACTTGAAGAAACAGTGCTAAAATATTAAAAATTATTTATTTAATTACTATGATAAGCGATTTTTTTCGCTATATTCACCTCATAGTAGCACAGAATAATCCAACCAAAGTAAACCCAGTTACTCCAGGAATATGCCCAGCAATTTGCATAGCGTAATATGATAATAACTGCTCGTGTCGTTGTATTTTCCCACTAATAAAAGGATCGCAATTGGCATAATGTGCATAGAATAAAAGACCCAATAAAATACAAAATATTTGCACTARTTCCATTGTTATCACATAAAAAACCATTGCCCTAAAAAGAAATGCTGTTATATGGGGGTAATAAACAATTTTTTCGACAATTGTCGAAAGTGTGTAAATTGTGTATTTTTACTTACCAAATCCATTCACGAAATGTTGGCAATGCTAAATATTTTTGAACTCCAGATTGCGAAAGGTTCACATAACTCATCCAATGAAACGTATAGCCAATCATAAATGTCCAAAAACTGTCACGAAGCGTGGGATCTAAATTAAAACTGAAACCCAAAATTTTTTTTTTTAGAATTTGATAAAGAAATTTACTTCAAAATATCGAGTCTTCCACCATCGAGTGCTGTTTTCCATAGTGACGAAAAATTTGCAGTGGTATTTAAACCGATTACACAAATCATAAGTAGAGATAATAAAATAATTCCAATTTGGAAAATATCAGTCCATACGACAGTTTTTAGTCCCCCGATTGTAGTGTAGAAAATACAAGTACCAAACAC